GCGTGGTCTCTCATTTCCAGAGGGTTATGCAGCGCAGGAACAAACAAGTGACAGTAGACAGATTTTTTGCCAAAAGTGAACCTGCATCCAAGAGACAAAGAAGAGAGGAAACCCCTGAAGGAGATCTTCCCGATGTCCTTACGGAGGGGGACTCTCCCGCCAAACATTAACCACCTCCCCACCCGCCTTCCTGTCCTCCACGCCAGAAGTCGCCTCAAGCAAGGATAGTATTCTCTCTCTTCATACTGTATTGTACTATACTCTATTTCATATTTTTGTGGTTAAAAAAAAAATACATATGGTTCAGAACAGATTAACCTTATTTACATTGAACCTTATGGGAAAATTTGATTCGGTTGGCGACCAAAATCGTGGAATGAATCAAGTTCGTGAACCGAGGTACCACTGTATAACCATTTTCTCTACAGGAATATTCTTCCTGTGCTCCATCATTTTACTATTTATACCTAAATCTGTAATCACTTTTTTATTTGATTTCTTTTATGAAATTATAGCCAACCAATTATGGCAGAAATTGGCAACACATCATCCACAAATACTAGGATATCTGTTGTGTCTTCCAAGTAGTGCCTGTGCTTCTCCAATAATTAAAATTGTATCCAAAAACTCTTGGGATTTTGTATATGAAGAGGGGGGGTGAGGATGCAGAAGACCTGGAAAGGTTGCTAAAGATTCAATAATCTTCACCAGTGGAACTCTTAAAACCCAAAGAACGTTCTCTTGACAGCCGAAGTGTTTATATTACCTGGTGACAGTTGCTTTATAATTGTAAAGCACATTGGCAAGTGCTCCACCATTTGGGGAGAGGGGGGAAATAGAAATTGTTACAGTAGAACATACCTGTGGCTAGGTAGAACTCTCACAGAACCAGGGCTTTTACCCGTGTATAAAGGGAATAGGGTCGTTTTGAGTCCTAGCAAAGTAATCATCTTCCCCATATTCATCCTGATTACAGGTCCATTGTCTGGAGGATAACAGTATATTTCAACAACGCAAAAAATAACCATTCCTGATCCAAACTGATCACACTTTAGGTTGCCCCAACAAAGTCTAAAAACATGTTCAAAGTATTAAATGTTGCTGATAGTTTCAATATTATAATTACTTCATTAAACCAATCAAGGTTGGTAGTGGTACCTGTTGAACTGCTAGTCCAAAACATGTCCTTTAACTGCTTCTGCAAAATCTAGATAGCAAGGATGTCATCACTCCAGCTACTGTATGCCAAAAAAAAAAAAAAAAGTGCAGTGCTGGAATTAGATTCCCCTGAATTTGCCATTTTTTTTAGATCTTTGCCTTTGGACACTTAAGAATGCAGTAAGTTATCTTCTTACAGTTAGTACTCGACTTATGACAATTTGTTTAACAACTGTTTGAAGTTACAACAGCGCTAAAAAGTGACTTGCAACTGGTCCTTGCAGTGTCCTGTTGCAGTGTCCCCACAGTCACATGATCAAAATTTGGGCACTTGGCAACTGGCATGTATTTATGACTCTTGCAGTGTCCTGGGGGTCACATGATCGCCATTTGTGACCTTCCCAGGGGACTTACAACAAGCAAAGTCAGTGGGGGAAGCCAGATTCACTTAATGACCACAGTGATTTGCCACAGCAAAAAAGGTGGTAAAATCAGGCACAACTCACTTAATGACCACATCGCTTAGTGATGGAAGTTCTGGTCCAGTTGTGGTCATAAGTTGAGGACTGCTTGTATTACCTACAGATAGTCCTCATACAGGTAGTCCTCACTTACTGACTGTAATTGGGTCCAGCAACTCTGTTGCTAAGTGATGCAGTTGTAAGGTGAAATGTGTCTGCACTTATGTCAGTTCCGCTGTGGCCATAAGTGAATCACTGCAGGTCGTTAAGCGTGATGTCACATGACCATGACTTGGGACTTCCTATTTAATTAGACAATCACTGATGGCATGAACATCTTTTTTCAATTTTTTGCACAATCTAAATTGCTATTAATATGAACTAAAAGAATTATTTTCCTGCTTCAAAATAATCATTTCCATAGGGAGCCAAGCTGGTCTTGAAGAAGACTTTTTCAGGTTTGTGCAAGGCATTTGAAAGAGGTTGTTCAGAAAACAAGGGACCCATTTTGCAGTGACTGTAGGTGCACAGAGATGATCAGGAGCGGTTTTGGAAGTAGCTATACAGATCCCATTGAGAGTCGAGTGGCATACAAGTTTAATAATAATTATCTGAAAAAAGATACGGCAACTTTAATGATTCAAAGAGGGATGCTTCCTTTGCTTTTGCATGTCATTTGCCTTTTGCAAATGTTTTACCTATTATTGAGAGCATCATTTGAATTATATTTTTTCACAATTCTGTCCTTTCCTTTTGCAAATAATTGATTCTCAATTCAACTTCCACACTTTCCTGCTCATATACTGTATTATGTATTTGTATACTTAACTCCAATTTCTAAAAAGCATTGTGTACTGTATATATGTGGGTGGGTGTGTGAAATTTCTGAGATGAAGATTATACACCATCCTGTTTGTTAGATTGCTAAAAAGCTGGATTTAGTTACTTCAAAAATAAATTGTAGAAAAGTAGCAACATGTCTTTCATGTGTATTTTTATTGTATACTAATTTTTAGTCTTCTAAGGAAACAGGAAACACTAGAATGATTCACAAAATTTGAAATCCAGTTACTTTATTTGTAAAACCAGTTTGAAACTTTTCAATAAAAGGAGCCTAAAACTCATCGCAATACAGATATAATTATTGCCTACTTTGAGGCAAGTTAAGAGAGAACCTTGTGTATTTTTTCCTTTTTTTTTTTTAGTATGGTGAATTGTTGAAAATTATTTGGTGACAAGAAGAGGATTATTATTATTATTATTATTATTATTATTATTATTATTATTATTATTATTATTCATAATGATCTTGCGAATTCTGGGAGTTGAAGTCCACACATCTTAAAAGTTGCCAAGTTTGAAAAACACTGATCTAAGGAAAAGTCTGGCTAATAGATACACATCAATTAGCTTCTAAGAATAAGTTCATTAATCAATGGGGAAGGGGGTCAAAAAAATAAAAATGGTGGTTATGATTGAAGCCCCACCCTTTTGTACATGGATGATTTCATATATACACAGGGGCAGGCCTTTGTGTGGTTGTGATTGCCATCTCAAGATCTCCCACCTCACGAACCTCTGAACTGGTGTTTTTGTCAATGAACAGCATTTAACCAGGATTTCTGGTAATGAAGGTTTTGGCGTAATTAGATTCACATGCAAGTTGTGATCACAGGACATCACTGTTTGCATTTTGGAGTCCTTGGTGCTCTCTGAGCTTAGTTGTTTCTTTGGAGTTGTTTAATTACTCCACTAGGAAACAGCAGTGTGAGTAAGTGTGGTAACAGGGATTGCATCATCTAGTTGGGTAATGAAACCTCTGCAAGCAAACAACCAAGCTCAGAGATCACCAAGGACTCCACAGTTGAACCCTGAGCTACATATATTCTCTTCTATTGTTTGCATTTTACCAGCATGTGTTGTGAATCTAAGCTGTGCGGTAAATTTTGTTTATTTATTTATTAAATGTATAGGCCACCTGACTCCCAGCAATTCTGGGTGGTTTACAAATGATTTAAAACATAAAAACAAGACAGTAAAACCAACAATGAACAAAAAGGGCAGAGATGGCAGAATAACAAACTGAGTAGAGACCAAACAAAACAGTCTTGCTTAAAAGGAGGCTTCGATCACCCTCACCAAAGAGCCAGGTCTTTAGGCTCCCTCCAAACACCAGCAGGGTGGTGGCTGTTCCGATCTCGTGGGGAACCTCATTCCGTAAGGCGGGTGCTGTGACAGGGAAGGGGGCTTCCAGGGTCCTGATCGATGGCATTGCATAAGTGAAGGACCCCAGAGTGCACCAACCCTGCCAGATTGAATAGGCCGGGCAGATATTATGGGAGACAGGTGGTCCCTCAAGTAACCAGGCCCTGTGCCATGTAGGGCTTTAGAGATGACCACCAGGACCTTGAATCACACCCAGAAGCAAACTGGCAACCAGTGCAGCTTGCGAAGCACTGCTGCATTCTGCACCAGTGCGTCCTAACAACCCAGAACATTCCATTAAGCAGGTTAACTGTGGGAAAGCGTGCTTTGTGTACACAGCTACACGGGGGTCTTTATACTTGGGTGCGTGTGTGAGAGAGAGACAATATATTAAGCCACTGTGGTGGAGTGGTTAATGTGTTGCACTAGGCCCAAGGAGATTTAAGTCTACCTTCTTCAGCTGGGGCAGCTGGCTGGGTGACTTTGCTCCAGTCACTCTCTCAGCCCTGCCTACCTCACTGAGCTATTGTCGAGGGGAAAGTTGTGCAAGGAATGCCATTAACCTGGGATATAAAACTAAGAAGTAATGTGCAATCTGGTTTCAGAGGGTTGTTCTAGCCCAGAGTTTCTCCAACTTTCTTGAAGTTGCCAAGTTCATTCCAACTAGGGCAGTTTGGTTTTAAGAGCACAGTGTATACAACTAACATGAGAACCTGGTAATGGGGCTCAGATCCCTATCAGCAGCCAT